CAAAAAACGGCCACGTCCCCATTATTACGTCCTCATGGAGCCCCTGGCCAGACTTTGCAGCGCTGGCGCGGTCCAGAAATAACATGAACATCGTTCGGGGCCAGTGTAGTTTGGGCACCAAACTTTGGATCGGCACCACAGCTAGAGCCGTTCCAAAATAACCACAGACCCCATACAAAAAAAGATTACAGGTGCCACCGTGCTTTCGTGTTTGTCAGGAAAAAAAACACAAAAAGGCCCTTATTACCATGGGCTGCAACGCAGGTGCCTCGGGCTTGATGAGCAGGTAGGTAACTGTACGCCTATCCGCTCAAACACAGAGTTTAACGTACCTAGTGTAGAGAGGTGAACATTTTTTTGTGCTTGTTCATGGAAGGGTAGAAAATAAGAGGCGCCCGCTTCTCTCCTTTTGAAAGCACTGTTGGTGTCGGCCAATGACATGCGCCTGCCGGTTGAACAAGATATCACACCCTCTGGGCCGACTTTTTCAGTTTTTCAAAGCTTGGTTACTCGGCTGGGAAATCAGTGACGGTGCCGAAAGTGGCAGTTGGAACCGTCCCATCAAGATCTTGCCGAACACATTTCTTTTGGCTTCGGCACCATCTTGGTCGTGAAGTAATCGAGCTTTCATCAATATCATGTCCAGGGGGGTGGTATCTTACAAATGCGACCTCGGATGCTGCTTTCAAAAAAATCCCACTGAGTTGCACCTGAGCGTTGGTGAAGGAGTGTTCACCAACAACGCCTGTGCACTTAACGCATGACGCTCATAAAGATCTTGGTGGTCATGCGATTGAAACGAGTACAGACTTTACCCGCGGGCGGTTAACGACGAACTCCAGCAAGCACCAGGATCAAGGGCGCAGGAATCATGAACGCCGATTCTCATGCGTTCAAGCGTTCATGTTAAACAAATTCACCACAAGCCTGCAGCTGACATCGTGCAAACCATGCGCGAGAAGGATGAAAAGTAATGAGCAACTTTCACACCTCGGGATTTTGGTCAGACACTGCACGTGCTGCCGCTGGGGCCTTGGATTCTCCCGTCGCGGCCTAGGCGCCGCCGCATCATGCAAGCGCTGATGATGTCGGATGCTTCTCGGCAGAGGTGATGGACGTGCAACAAAGGCCAATGTTGTCGATGCCACCAGCCCGACTAACACTGCCGTCGCAACTACTTCCAGGCGAAGGTGATATCTCATCATAATGTGTATGTCATGGACCAGAGCGTGTGGCAGGCGGCACTGCAGAGAGCGGAGCTTTCTTCGTCTCTCCACACGCCCAGAAGGCGCCTTCCGGTATATGCCGGAGAATTGCGTCCTAGAACGAGTTTTCGTCGGTATGAAAAATGGAGACCGGTTCTAGAAACGTTTCGGCGAGACCAACCGACGACAAAAAAAACACGAAAAAAAAAAAAAAATTTCGGTCAAGTTTGTCCCGACAACGGAGCAACACGCGGACCTCCTCACCAAGGCCCTTAGCAGTGCCAGTCTGCAGTATCACCGGTGCAAGCTGATGAATTTGCCGGTAGCTGTAGCAGTTTCTAGCACTTGGGAGAGGCCATGTTTTCCATGCGGGGAAAGGCGCATAACTGTTGCGGTCTGTGTACCAATGGCAGGAGTAGGGGGCGTTGGGAGACCATCGTCCGGGGGAACGTAGTTCCTCGAGTTCTTGTCTTCGCCTTGGCCTTTCTANGGGCGTTCTTGCCCAATTGATGGTTAGTCACTTGCGTGAAGAACCAGGGAGGGTGTTCGTGGGTCTGCGAACATTGTTGTTGGATACATGTGCTGGATGATTTTGTGTCACGCAGACTGGTAAGATTACCATTTGGTAGGGGGCACCGCGATGATTCACGGGGCCCCTCCTTGCTATGGGGGCCGCTCTGTGAGCACTCCCTCTTTCGTCCGTGTGAAGGACGGTCGTCGACCTCTCGTGAAGTTAATACATCACCAAAACAGTCTCACCCGATCAATAAGTGGCGTAGGCCGCAAGCATGGGCCTGACCGTGGCTCGTGGCAGCCTCATGCAGGTAGACCGCACAATCTAATCCGAGGGGAAGAGAGGGTAGTGAGACAGCAGCGGAAGAAGCACAGCCGCGGGATACTGCTAATCAGCCAGCTGTTGAGAAAGGGTACCACCGAGGCAGCTGGAAAACCCGTGCAGTCTGTGGTTCCTGATGAAGTTGAGCTCCTCGAAAAGGGTAGAGAGCATGTTGAAGGCATCNGCATGGGCCTGACCGTGGCTCGTGGCAGCCTCATGCAGGTAGACCGCACAATCTAATCCGAGGGGAAGAGAGGGTAGTGAGACAGCAGCGGAAGAAGCACAGCCGCGGGATACTGCTAATCAGCCAGCTGTTGAGAAAGGGTACCACCGAGGCAGCTGGAAAACCCGTGCAATCTGTGGTTGCTGATGAAGTTGAGCTCCTCGAAAAGGGTAGAGAGCACGTTGAAGGCATCCGAGAGAGAGCATCGAAACGCGGGAAACGACAGCCTGCTGCTGCTGCTGCTGCTTCATCTGCTGCGGCGAAGAAGGCGAAGCGCAAGGGGGCGGACGCAGCTCTCTCCGACCCTCTAGCATTGGCTCATGATGGCGGGACTAGAAGCGGTGCTACCCCAGATACTTCGCGGGAGGAAGCGGTGAGTTTTGGATCATTTCTGAGGTGCTGCTGAAGGTGTTCTAGTGCTTTGACTGCGCTTTACTTTGCGCGCCAGTTCGTGCCAGCTGCTCTATTCTTGAATTTGAAATTTGGTACACGCGCTGCCCGTCCTCTTTGCCCCCAAGAATTGATGTCCATGCCACCACGTCGATATCTTAAGCACAGTAAGCGCATCAAAAAATGCACGGGTTTGGTGACTGCTGTAACTGCTGAAATGACGCTGCTACCGTGGTGTTTATTTGTCGCTCACTCATATGTTCCCCCGACTCCTCCAATAACTACTGACACGTTGTACGCAGGTTGCGGAGGAGGGTCGCTCTAGCGCGATGGATTTGATGCGGAACGACCCCGTGTTGATGGAGCGAGTACGGGCCATGCTGGATGCTGGCGCGGCAGAGCAGGCAGCAGCTAAGGTGGCGGCGATCGACGCGGCCAACACTCGTGCACTCCGCGCGTCGTTGCAAGCGCTGAAGCAGCACTGCAACAGCTCGATAGGGTGGACCACTTACCAGACAGCGCTCGCTGTAGCAGCCGGAGCGGGAGAGCACACGTGTACTGACANCGCTAAGGTGGCTGCGATTGACGCGGCCAACACTCGTTCGTGCATTCCGCGCGTCGTTGCAAGCGCTGAAGCAGCACTGCAACAACAGCTCGATAGGGTGGACCACTTACCAGACAGCGCTCGCTGTAGCAGCCGGAGCGGGAGAGCACACGTGTACTGACACGGACGTGTGCCACCCCGGCCAGCGGTGCAAGCCCGTTGAGTCTGGTGGAGTGAGCCTTGCCGAGCGAGCTAACAGTCTCGGCATTCGGCACGAGACTTTCAGCGACGCACGGTGGCGGATGCACAACACGAACCACGACATCGCCCCCAAGATCGCTGCGAGTGAGGGATGCTACGTGTACAACGAGCGCAAGACACGGAGTGACGTGACGAATCCCGAGGNAACACCAACCACGGCATCACCCCCAAGATCGCTGCGAGTGAGGGATGCTACGTGTACAACGAGCGCAAGACAAAGAGTGACGTGACGAATCCCGGGAACAGAGGAGGAGCAGGGGGAGGTGCAGGATACCTATAGTCTTGTGTGGGCTACTAATGTGGGGGTGCAGACAGACGATTTTGTGGTGGGAGCGGCCGGAGACGAGGTGTTGACGGCTAGGAACTGGGCGGTAGAAGAGTCCAGGGCGAGAAAATGGGCCGCCCCCAAGAAGTTTACCAGATCTTGGAAGTTGCGGGTTCGGGGCGCATCGTGCTACTGCTCGACTTGCCGAATAGGCTGCTACGATGACTGCATGGTAGCGAAGGTGTACCCCGACTTGGTTGGCGAGGTGATGGAGAAGTCGGGAAAAGAGATGGTTGGGAGACGCGCGCTTGGGACTCAATTCACCGGCGTTATTCTTCCGGTCATATCTTCGGACGAGTCCCCAGTGGCGCCTACGCTTGACCAGAGCATGGGGGAGGTGGGGGGGGGAGGGGAGAAGGAAGATGAGGGAGACGAGGAGGACGAGGAGGGGGAAGAGGAGGACGAAGAGGAGGAGGAGGAGGTAGAGGAGGAGGGGGATTGGGAGGAAGCACAACNTGTTGGTATGTCCGTACTTGGGAGGAGAAGACACGCTTTACTCTCTCTGATTAGGCACCCGCGGGAGCGAGGAAAGGAAGGGCAGAAGTGGCCCTCCCGAATTCGGGAAGGGGGCCAACACATAGTAGCCTTTTTCAGGCATACGCATGCTCCTGTCTACGTACCCCCCCGTGCTGCTAGCAGATCTACCATGCTCGTATCCAGACACACGAACACCCTCCCCGGTTCGTCAAGCTATTGACAAACCATCAGTGGGGCATGGATACTCCAGATCTACTTAAGTTACTCATACAACAACGGGTGCAAGGGAAAAACTCGGCCATCCGGATCAAAAACCCTCGCCTACAAACTCAAAACATAAAAGAANCTACTTCGGAACGCGGAGATGCATGGCACGCGTATCCCCGACGTCGACGTCGCGCACGAGTTTCTTCTAGGCTACGCCGTGGAGGCGGACAAGGCGCGTGAAGGCCACTTCACAACCTGGTCCCCTTACCGGATCAAGAGCTTCGAGGTCAGGAAGTTTGGCCCCAAGGAAATTCCTCGCCCACCGATAGATCTGACGGGGATCCCTGGAAGTTCCAAGCTGTACTTTTTCACGGGAACAGAGGACGAGCAGGAGGACGTGCAGGATACCTTTAGTCTTGTGTGGGCTACTAGTGTGGGGGTGCAGACAGACGATTTTGTGGTGGGAGCGGCCGGAGACAAGGTGTTGACGGCTAGGAAGTGGGTGGTAGACGAGTCCAGGGCAAGGAAATGGGCCGCCCCCAAGAAGTTCACCAGATCTTGGAAGTTGCGGGTTCGGGGCGCATCGTGCTACTGCTCGACTTGCCGAATAGGCTGCTACGGTGACTGCATGGTAGCGAAGGTGTACCCCGACTTGGTTGGCGAGGTGATGGAGAAGTCGGGAAAAGAGATGGTTGGGAGACGCACGCTTGGGACTCAATTGACCGGCGTTATTCTTCCGGTCATATCTTCGGACGAGTCCCCAGTGGCGCCTACGCTTGACGAGAGCATGGGGGAGGTGGGTGGGGGAGGGGAGAAGGAAGATGAGGGAGAGGAGGAGGACGATGAGGGGGAGGAGGAGGAGGAGGAGGAGGGGGAGGAGGAGGGGGAGCGGGAGGAAGCGCAATACGTAAGCTCAAGAGGTCGCGTAAGTATCGCGAAGAAGAGGTTCCCGGAGGTGGGCTAGGGATGGATGGATGTGTTGGCTGCCAACCACAAGAATGGAACTCGTCGACGTTTGTTGTTCTTCTTGCTTTTTCTGGTGTGGTGTCGAACGCAACGTTTGCAAGTATTGTGCGCTACCCTTTACTCTTGGTGGTAATAATATGGGCAAATCCCCGTTTTGTCCCCGGGGGGGGACACAAATTTCGTGTCCCCTGGTGGGAAGTGGCCAGTAAAATGTGCAAAAACTGTAGGGTTTGTTCTACCGGAACAACGGCCTAAAAAGTGCATAAAATGGGCAAGATATGGGCAAATCCCCGTTTTGTCCCCGGGGGGGGACATGAAGTTCGTGTCCCCTGGTCGGAAGTGGCCAGCAAAGTTTGCAAAAATTGTAGGGTTTGTTCTACCGGAACAGCGGTCAAAAAAGCGCTTAAAATGGGCAAGATATGGGCAAATCCCCGTTTTGTCCCCGGGGGGGGACAGAAAGTTCGTGTCCCCTGATTTGCGTGTCCCTATACATTGAGTAAGACAAATCACCAAGTTTCGCTGAAAACCCACCTTCCCAACCCCGGATTAAAAATCTGAGACCGAATATCGCATCTACACACCGAGAGCAACCCACAACTGAATTTTCAGAGCTTAGGTGGTTTGGCAACATTATCAATCTCAACCCCTCCCCGGCATATCCCGGAAGGCGCCAGAAGCCCAAAACAGACAGAGCCAGCAGGGGGGGTTCCCCCAACGGAGGTTCACCCCCCCTTCCTATTGCTGCTATCTGTGTGGTGTCTTATTCGCCAGCCCCGAAATGCGTATAAACGCCAGCGCTGGCGAGATTCTTGCACTCGCCAGTTCAGCATTTTTTGGGTTATGATTGGAGGTAGACACGAAACCAAAGCCACAGCAGGTTTCCAGCCCTCAGGCAGCACCAAGGCGCTAGGCCTCACTAGGCCTTACCCACCCCTAACCCTAACCCGAACCCGAACCCAACACCCCAAATAGGTTGTGGTGCAGTGGGTAGGCCTAGGTCGCTGTACTGGAGCGTGCAAGAATCTCGCCAGCGCTGGTGTATATACGCTTCGTCCGCCAGCACAAACGCCCAAACCGAACAGCAGCCAAGCTCTCAGGACATGGCGGTGGCCTACTTGTACTGGCCGTAAGAGTTGTACAGGAGTAGATGGATAAGCACTGCTGCTGTTTGCGCATCCGCTCGTTCCACCAACAACCTTCATTGATGTGGTCTCCTGTGTGCAGTGTGCAGTTTTCTGCTGTGGGTATGGTCCGTTCGGGCAAATATTCACAATCTTGTTTTTCGCGATACAGTATCTCTCGAAAAAAACGATTTGGAAAGTGAAACAACTTTGGGCGTGACCGCGGCGTCGAGCTTCGTCGATATCCGATGANTATATGCCTTCAGAACATCAGTTAAACCAACATCAATCAATATTTACATTATTTACACGTTACATATGTACAAGTACATACATACAATACCACCGCCGTTTTTTACTTTCTACTCAATCAACCCCTGGCTGGTGAAGGTGCTGCAAACAAAGCATGCAGCANCACCAAAATGACCCACGGAGACCCTACCCCCCCACCCCCTCATGACCCCACGGAGCCCCCAAAGTACACCACGACCCCCCCTCAACCCCTCCCTTCTACACGTATATGCCTTCAGAACATCAGTTAAACCATCATCAATCAATATTTACATTATTTACACGTTACATATGTACAAGTACATACATACAATACCACCGCCGTTTTTTACTTTCTACTCAATCAACCCCTGGCTGGTGAAGGTGCTGCAAACAAAGCATGCAGCAATCACATCCGTTCTCTCTAAGCAAGTCCGATACCAAGAGAGACAGCTATAGGGTTGAGTTGGTGACCATGACGAACGCCTCTACCGCGCCTAAACGCGAGAAACCAACACTACAACACACCGCGACATACAGATACGTACCCTCCCCACTCACGCCTGAGCGTGCCCGCCCAACCATTTCCTCAAAAAATTCATCGTGTTGCGCAAAATCCACAGCCGTAGCTGCTCCTTCCGGGAGGCTCTCTTGCTCGTCCACGTGTTGAAGGCTTCCCTGGTCGCCGCCATCGACTTCTTGCGCACTTCCTGCGCAGCCGCAAGCGCCTTCGCCTCGGCTGCCTTCTTCTGCTCCGGCGTCTTC